CTTAGATTTACGAAGTGCGATTCTCGGACAGAATACATCCCTTGGAACATAATAACACATTTCCCCTACCGGAGGACGTCAGAATATCCTTCGAAACACTCAAAAGCGAATTAGAACATACAGTCGTCACTACCATCGACCCAAAGATACCACTAGTCGTAGAAACGGACGCCTCAAACGTAGCTATTTCGGCTACCCTCGCAGAACCGTAGGCCGGTTGCCTTCTTTTCTAGACCGTTATCTCCAAGTGAACGGCATCATTCCTCTGTAGAGAAAGAGGCCAACGCCATCGTCGAATCTATTCGGAAGTGGAGACACTATTTGCTTGTCACGCACTGCAGACTGATCACAGATCAAAAATCGGTTGCCTTCATGTTTGACTCGAGACACTACGGTAAAATCAAAAATGATAAAATTCTGAGATGGAAAATCGGACTATCATGCTACAGCTTCGATGTTACTTACCGTCCTGGACACGAAAACGTGGCGGCTGACGCATTGTCTTGTAGCTGCTGCTCAGTGTCCACATCACTTGAACCGCTCAAGCAGCTAAATCAATCACTGTGTCATCCCGGAGTCGTACGAATGCTCCATTTTGTTCGAACTAAAAATCTCCCTTACTCTGTCAATGAAGTTAAATCGGTCATCAGCGGCTGCTCAATCTGTGCTAGGTGGAAACCACAGTTCTGTAAATTTCCTACGGGAAATTTAATCAAAGTCACTGCGCCGTTTGAGAGGCTGAACATTGATTTTAAAGGTCCGCTTCCGTCAGAATCTCGAAACCGAGACTTCTTGACGATCGTGGACGAGTACTCTCGATTCCCGTTTGCCTACGCCTGCACTGATCTATCAGCTGCTACAGTCATTCGGTGCCTCACCAATTTATTCTCGATCTTTGGTATATCTTCCTACATACATTCTGGTTCGTCCTTCATGTCCGAGGAGCTTAAGAATTTCCTTCACAAAAATGGCATTGTCTCCAGCAGATAGACAACCTACAACCCTCGCTCAAACGGACAAGTTGAGAGACTAAACGGGACCCCTTGGAAGACTATCGTTCTCGCAGCGCAATCCAAGGGTCTGCCGTGTACTCAGTGGGAATCCGTCCTTCCAGAAGCTCTCCATTCTATTCGATCACTACTGTGTACAGCCACCAATGCGACCCCACACGAGCGATTGTTTTCTTATAATCGCAAATCTGCATCAGGAGTCTCCATACCAACCTGGTTGAGTATTCCTGGACCAGTCTCAATGCGTTGATCCTTGAGATTAACAAAAGCCGACCCCGTGGTGGACGAAGTTGAGTTACTCGAATGCAATCCCAAGTACGCCCATATCCGTTTCCCAAATTGGCCAGTATCATCCTGATTTATTTCAGCCGTTACGGCCCTAGAGTTGCAATCGTTGGCTAAAGATTTGAGCTTCTGAAGTAATTGATGGAAATTTTGCCTTCTTTTGCTGTTTGCTGGTTGCCAATGGATACCGGGTGAACACCTAATTTGGTGGTTTGATAAACAGGTTTTCCAGGGTTTTCACAGCATTACTGTGCGATGTGTAATCGGTAACAATCATAAATACTTGGAGAAATGTAATTGTGGAGAAAATCTAAATTTTCCGGATCTTCAACCCCAATTTTATTAAGAAATCTGTCGAAGGTACAAAACCAGTGCCGCCTGTAAAATACGATTTCATGTGTACAACTTAACACCAATTCCCCTAAACCACATTAAATCAGATACTCGATCAGTTTTCGGGGCTCTAAAGAATTTTGCGAAAATGTTCAAAACCTAAAAAGGTAATCTTACAAACTCAATCCGGGAATAGCACTATATTTAGGTATAATGCTTAAGGACTGATGAGGAGCTTTTGAGTATCTTCCGAGCTCGTTGTTACTCTGAGTAATTCGGAAGTCTTTGATTTCAATTTTATAGTTGACTTACACTGTGTACCTTAAACGTCTAATCAGCCTATTAGCCTTATACCTCTAATAGTGCCCAATTTCCGGATTGGTTTTTAAGATGGTCTTTTTTTAACTTTTTGAAGATCTTCACAAACTTCTAGAGCCCCGATAACTGATCAGGCGGCTGGTTCAATATGGTTTAGAGGAATTAACGGTAAATTGTAGTTATTCATTTGTTATCAACGTCTATTCCATCGGCAATATCCTCCTGAAGATGACGGCAATCCGGAAGAAGATTCGAGTTCTTCGTTTCCATGCAGAAGGAAGAATAGATTTCCCCCTTTCATATATGCATATAAACCTACTAAATTTTCCCCTTTCAGAAGTCGAAAGTAGATTGTCAACAATACCTTACCTGCTGAAGCAAGACTGTTGACTCTTGATTGGCCTCCAGACGTCACGTTTTATCTTCTGCACCATTTAGCGCAATCTATTAGCGAATTGCAATGTCATCGTCATCTGACCTCGACGAACTGGAAGGATTCGTACAATGTGTGAGCCAGGTTTTCCGAGTCAAGAGTGATCATGTTATTATGGTCAAGCTTACGCGGTCCCCGGATTGTTTCTGTCCGTCAGAAATGTGTCATATCCTAGTTCGATGGAACCGGGACTGTGAGACGTCAACCGAACAACAACAACAAAGGCGTCAATTTTTGACTGACTGTCCCATTCATCAGTGGATTCGAGCATCCGGTTTAAAGAAGTATAAGATTTATTCAGGACAGGTACGCACTGATTTGGTTCATTGGGGATAGATAAATAGTAAAATACACTAACGGAACGTTCAAATAAAACATGACAAAACAAGTGCCTGGCGTAAAAGAATGAAACCGATGCAAAGACAGTAGCAGTGAAACTGCACCTTGACGTGGTATTACGGCTTGTGCACCTCTGTGACTCGAGAGTTTTTGTTAGTCCGAAAATGTAACCAAGTCTGGAAGGTCGAATAGTCGAGGTCCTGGTTCTCCAGGTTGGGGGTTCGACTCAAATTGGTATCTCAGTTGTTAAAAAGGATGAAATAGTGATTGTTCTGAGTAGATGGACTTCCATTCCGCATATTCGATTTCGCTGTAGACGAAATACTTGAGAACGTATCAAGTGGTCTACAAAGTGTTGGTATGGAATGAACAGTTGGCGAAAAGTTGTGCAATTTATAGTACGCTGACGACATTGTTTCTCTGTTCGAATGTATGGAGTATGCGCAAGGCGCTCTTAACAGACTCAAGGTTTTATGTCTAGAAATGCTAGTGTTGTTGGTTTCTCCTTCATGAGATACAGTGGTGTGGATGTAGTGGGTTAAAACGCTGTAAAAGTGTTTTGAAATGTTCTTCGTCTGTAAGAATGAAAATATCGTCCGCATAACGTTCGTACAGGGTGGACTCGGAAATATTATAACTTAGTTTCTTCTCAATCATTCTTACACAAACACATCGGCTAAAATGGAACCCAATGAACTACCGATATCCACACTATCGATCTGTTTCTATGCGGCCCCTCAAAACAAACGTTTTCTGTACACATAAGAATAAGTTCTCTTAAGTATTCAAAGGGAAAATTGTTTGAAGAAATATAATCACACAAAAAATCAAATGTCTCATAAAGTGGCACAGTAAAAAGTGAATCTACATCTATCGAATATGTTTTCTGTTAAGATATTGTCGTGTTTTCAGAAATATTAGAGAATTCAAAAGAATCTTCACACAATGAGGTATAAAAGACTTACAAATGGGATCAAAAATGTCTACCTTGTGATAAGGCGAGTTTTGTATGCACAGAATTGGTTTGAGTGAAGTCCCAAGTTTGTGAGCTTTCGATGAACCCCTTATTTGAGGAGTTTACGTTCCTATTGGCTTCAATTGTTCGTATTGAGCCTCGGAAATGCAACCATAAAGCAACAAAATTTGTAACTTTCTTGCGGTGAGGTGATTTGATCTTTCCAACTTTTTTTCAGGAACTATTACATCATATTATGCTAAAATTTCCATAGAATCATGTCTTTGAATTGCGTGAGTACCTACCATTTGTTCCCTTCTTTCATTTCGAGCTGCATAACACATCAAAGTGGCCATCCTTTTTATTGTTTTCTTCTGTTCCGTCCCAAGGCGCGCGAGCGAGTTGTATGGTTGTTCCAACCAAAAGTTAGTCACGTGCAGTCTATCCTGGCTCCCTTGAATTCAATGCCATTTGATCACCCCGCTTGTACGTCACGGCCAGTTGGAATGTTGACCACTTTTCGCTCCGTGGTTTTATCCGTTCACAGCTTTGGCCGCATTTTGGAACTAACAGTTCCCACTTATCCGGTCAGTCAGACCAACTCGCGATTCCGCGGTCCAGTTTATTGGTGTCTTTCTTCATCTCTGCTGACCACAGATGTTTTACATGCCGGCGCACATGTGGTTTTGCACAATATTTGGTATCTGCCAATTCCAACCTGGGCCGAGATTTCCGTGGGATACGAAGCGTTGCTGGTCCTGGGTGTTTACTCCACTTGTCAACTAATAAAATCAGATTCATCAGTTGACCAGATCGCATCTTGTGGATCGCGGTGTTGTGCCGATCCCCGTCTGATCCAACCGGAATCCCTCTATCCAATCAATGTGCGATCCATTTTATCATCCTGTTTAAACATGCGGTCATTGGTTCTTCCCGCGGTTGAAGTGAGTTTTTGCTCCAGTTGGGTCTAATTGGAACAATTCTCCAGTCTCAAACAACAATAACAAATACCTGTATCTGAATTAGATATTATTGACGCTTAGCTTCTAAACATTCGTACATGCATAAAATACAGATCTGGGAGCACTACTGAATGGTCACATGGCGATCTCTGTTACGCGTTTTCTTTAACAATCGGATGACCCTATGCGATGTGGAAACGGATACCTCGGTCTAATTTTTGTGATATAATCTAGCTCTGTAGACGAATTTTACCGTCTCGGGAACCGCGAAGAACGAAAGAGTAGCTGTGCCCTATTTAAAATATTTGTGTAGAGCAACAAACGTGCTTGTAAGATCAGGGATGCCGCTGGCATTACGTAATCCTGTCTTAAGCCCACAGAGCGTAGTATTCCGAAACAATTGTTGTCTTGTATGCGGGTCCCTAATAACTCATCTCGGTTCGCTTATGAATCTAGTACAAGTACTCTGGATAACCGCATCCTCTGTTGTCCATTTCATGATGAGATCTTTTCATTCTGCAAAGCCCGTCCCATATCTCTTGTTATTCGTGTTGTTTTTTATTCCATTTCTCGATCACATGTGCCTCATAAATTGGAATCTTTCGGTTATCCAGCTGATTTGCTAGTATTGTTCGCAGATTATTTTTCATGGAGTGAGAAACGCACAAAGTATACTGGAATGACCTCCCAATTGCAAACCAATTAGATGTAACTCTCT